ATCCGGTATGGGTTGGGGATTGGGCGTTGCCCCAGGATCAGCAGGGTCTCGTCGCGCTGGGCACGCCGCTCGGAACCGATGCCTTTGTGCAGTGCCAGCTCCGCATCAAACGTGCTGCCCAAGACCGGCTCCTGGAGCGCATCCCGCATGTTGACGACCTCCAAGCTTCCTGGTTGCTTTTGCGCTACTGCGCTGCGCCGAGGGCAAACTACTTGCTGCGAGTACTGCCCCCCCGCGCTCAGCGAGGAATACGCCGCTGCTCACGACACAGCTGTCGCTCGGTGCCTGGCCCAGCTTCTCGGCTATGCGGACGCCCCGCTGCCGGAAGAGGCCACGAGAGCAGCCCAGCTCGCGGCGCGGCTTGGGGGACTTGGCTTGCGTTGCGCGAGGGCCGATCGTCATGCGGCACATTGGGCCTCCTGGTGCGACGCGCTCCCTGTTGTTCGTGACCGAGCGCCTCAGGTCGCGCATGCAGGCATTGCGCGCCCCTGAGGCCGAGCAGACTCCTGCATTGCGAGCCGCGCAGCATGCAGCAATTTACCTACGTGCGCAAGGCTTTGAAGTCCCAGCCTGGGAAACCGCCGCTGGCTTGGCTGGGCCCCCACCCCAGGCACCGCGCGGCGATGAGCGCGCGCTCGAGACGCACTTTTCTCACTTGTCACCCGCGTCCCGAGCGCTGCTGCTGTCGCAGGCTGGCCCGCATTCCTCACGTGCCCTCAATGTGTTGCCTACGCATGAGGAGGTCGTCATCCCTAGCGCGCAGTTCCGGGTACTCCTGCTGCGTAGGCTGCGCCTGCCTCTCCCGCTGGCGCCCAGGCACTGCCATTGCCGCGGCCAGCTCGACCCTTGGGGCGACCATCGTGCAGCCTGCGCATCTGCTGGGGTGTTGCCGGCCCGGGCCATCCCGCTTGAGAGGGCGCTGGCCCGTGTTTGCCGCGAGGCGGGGGCCCGTGTTGCCCAAAATGTCCGTTTGGCCGACATGAACCTCGATGCCTCCGTGCAAGACGCCAGGCGCATTGAGGTCGTGTGCAATGGTTTGCCGCCATGGCATGGTGCGCAGCTCGCCGTTGATGCCACCATAGTCAGCCCTGTTGGCAGGACCGGGGAGCCGCGGGCAGGTGCGGATGCCCGGCCAGCTTTAGCCCTCGACCAAGCCGCCCAGCGCAAGCGCCGCCACACCCACCCAGGACTCGAAAGGGCACGCCGATGCGGCCTTGTCGTTTTCGGTAGAAAGCGCAGTTCGTCCGCCCACTTGCGCGCGCACGCGCAGCAGCGGCACCTGCGGCCCTGCGTGTTACTGCCCGCGGCGCCTGGGTGCAGCGCTGGAGTGGCATTCTTTCCGTCGCAGCGCAACGAGCCTTTGCAACATTGTTGCTGGAGCTGCCGCTGCACGGGGAATGCCAAGGCGGCATTCCTGAGCCTGAACTGCATGAGGTCCTTGCGGACTCACGCTGGACTGCAGCTCCTGCCACAAGCCGTCTCGCGGCACGCGCAGCGTGAGCAAACGCATGTGGCC